GCGTTGCGTGGCCAAGTAGCGGATCGCCCCACTTCTCAGGCCCTGGACTGCAAAGCTGTAGTTTGCCAGGCCCAGAGCCCCTTGGCCCCTTTGGCAACAGCTTGCTGGAACCAACAAGTTTGCTGGTGCCCTGCGGTTCGCCCATGAACTAACAGGCGCAAAGTTTTTGTCCACCTTCCATGTGAAGGCCCATCGCGCGCTGGAGGCTCTCGAGGCCCTGGAGAGTGATGAGATGCGTTTTGCTTTTGCGAAGCGTGCGGTGGATGAGCACGCGACGAAGGCCCTCGAGGAGCACCCGCGGCCTAACCCCAGTTTGTCCCTACCTAGGCTCTGCCTAGAAGGGTTCTTACCCTGTGTGCTTAAAGGGCCGGGCAGTGCAACTCGCCCCGGGCGGTTCCCCCAGTCCCCGCCCCGCGGTTCCCCCAGCTACGCCCCCTTAGCTTAGCGTTGCTTATTCCCTACCTAGGCTCTGCCTAGAAGGGCTCTCACTCTCTCTATCTTAAAGGGGCCAGGCAGTGTTGCCCGCCCCGGGCGGTTCCCCCAGTCCCCGCCCCGCGGTTCCCCCAGTTGCGCCCCCTTACCTTAGCTTTGCGTATCTCATCTTAGTTTAGCTTAGCCTAGCTTAGCTTAGCTTAGCTTAGCTTCATCTTAGCTTCATCTTAGCTTCGCGTAGCTGTAGGTTAGCTTCGCTTAGCTGAGCATAGCATAGCATGGCCCAGCATAGCGCAGCGCAACATAACATAGCATAGTATAGCATAGCATAGCGCAGCATGGCATAGCATAGCGCAGCATAGCATAGCATAACGTAGCCTATCATAACATAGCGCACCCTAGCGTAGCATAGCATAGCGCAGCATAGCGCAACGTAGCATAGCATATCATATCATAGCATAGTGCAGCATTGCATAGCAGAACATAGCATAGCATAGCATTGCATCAAAGCAAAGGCAAAGCAACAGCAGCAACAGCAAAGCACAAGCAACGCAAAGCAAAGCAAAGCAAAGCAAAGCAAAATCAAAAGCAAAGCAAAGGAAAGGCAAAGCACAAGCAATGTGCGACAGATGCCGAGTTGGATTTTCCTGTTTCGTAATGATGGGTAGAATGCAGCAGTTCATTTTCCAAGCGAATATTCATAGCACCGGTGACGATGGCTTCTTGGCTGCTGCCTACTTCCCGACCTAGGCTCTGCTTACAGGGTTATGAGTCTCTTTCTTGAAAAAGGCCGGGCAGTGCACACCGCCCCGGGCGGTTCTCCCAGTATCCGCCCCGCGGTTCCCCCAGTTACGTCCCCCTAGCTTAGCGTTGCGTATCTCATCTTACTTTAGCTTATTCTTCATATTAGCTTAGCTTAGCTTCATCTTAGTTCAGGTTTATCTTCGCTCAGCTTACCTTCGTCTTAGCTTCGTTGAGCTTTAGCATAATAGCGTAGCATAGCGCATATCATAGCATAGCCCAGCATAGCATAGCACAGCGCATCATAGCATAGCATAGCATAGCGCAGCACAGCATAGCATAGCACAGCGCAGCATCGCATAGCAGAGCACAGCAGAGCATGGGTGGAATCCCCTACCCAGGCTCTGCCTAGAGGGCTAGCTTAGCTTAGCTCAGCTTAGCATAGCGCAACGCTGCATTAGCAGAGCATTGCATAGCATAATATAGCCAACCATAGCATAGCATAGCATAGCGCAGCATAGTATAGCATAGCACAGCATAGCATAGCATAGCACAGTTTATCATAGCATAGCAGAGCATAGCTTAGCATGGCACAGCGCAGCTTGATATAGTATAACTTAGCATAGCATAGCATAACATAGCGCGGCATACCGTAGCATAGCATATCATTGCATAGCATAGCATAACATGGCATATCATAGCATCGCATAGCAACTACTGCTGCTTTCCTAGGGGCTCCAACTTCTTAGGTAGGGTCGCGCTGGGGTAATGTCTGCAACGTGTTGAGTTGCATCAGGATCGAGCCAATGCTTTTGTGAAGCTTGCGTCGGCAACTCTTCCGGTGTATAAGATCGAAGTCAGGCGGGCGAGAGCCGCGTTCTCTTCATCTGGTCGCAGTCGGCTGAGTCGAAATTGGCATCTGTGGCGTCGATCAGAGTCAGGCATGCAATGCAGACAGTGTTGGATGGTGTGTGATCGACCCGATGGGCCAATGACTGGACGTCGTGGCCCGCCCCCTGCTCTCCAGGAGCTGCTGCGTGAACCCATGGGGCACCTCGTCGCCGTGCCGCGTTCGGCTTATGATGCTCCTCGGTTTGGGGCCCGCGGGGCTTGTGTCGCGAACAGCTGATTCTGCGTTTGAAATGCGGGGGATGGAGCCATCGGAGAACCGTGAAGTTCGCCGAGGTTTCCATAAGCCAAAGCGTAAAGGACTGGATGGCCTGAGCCGTCTTCGGCGAGGCGTTGGCCCGCATTTGAAGGTCCACGAAGTGTTTGATGAGGCGTTGTTTGTGGTACGACTTGGTTTCGAAAACGGATGCTAGTTCGAGGCGCAGTCAGACTGTGACATCAGTGCCGCGAGTTTTCTCGGATGTTCCCTCAGCCCCCGACCATGACCAGCGAAGTGCTGCCTTCGTCGCCAGAATTTCAGCTAAAGAAGAGGCCGCGCGAGCCTCAGGGGCGATTTAACTCGGGTCGGCCCCCCCACCTCCCGACCTTTTCAGACGCTGTCCATCCATCTATCCATCATGGGCGTTTTTGTTTGGTTTCTTGGGGCCCACCCTGCTGCCAACCACGGTGTGCCCCAAAGGCCGGGGCACGATTTGGGGCGCGTTCTGGGGCCGGAATGAGCTTCGCTTCGGGCCGTCATGGGGTATTGTTGGGCCGTCTTGGGGCTTGTTTGATAATTCTGGATGCCTTTTTTCTGCCCCCTTTTGATGCGATTGCCGCCCCTCAAAAACACAAGCACATGTGATAACAACATGTGTGCTGCGTTTGAGCGGCATTACGGTGGTTTTCTTTGGGTCGTCTTCGGGTGTTTGGTGGATGCTTGGGGTAGCTGGCGGCTCTCGCGAAGACCTTTTGACTGCCCCCCTGACCGCGTAGGGCCTCGGCAAGTTTTCAGGGCCTGGCTGGGGCGTCCAGGAAGCTCGGGAGGCCGAAGTTGGTCAAGGAAGGGGGGGGCCGTAATCAAATGATGCATAGATACATTGGTGGCAGCATTTGAAGTGTGTTCGGCTTACGCGCGTCTGGTTTAGGACAGTTAGCGCTTGGTCCGCGTTCGTCCCCCATGTTCGCTACAGCATTATGTTGGTTTCCCCCAGGGGGTCTTGCAGTTCCTCCTTGAGCAACCGCTGCCGGATGCCATTCTGACAGGCTGCAACGAGGATATACAGCCAGAGCATCATCTGAGTGAAAATTGAGAAACGCCATGCGCGAAATGCCGCAGGAGTGTTGATTGGTCTGGTTTGTTCTCGCACTTATACCCGTGCGTTCAGCCTGTGGCCACTGAGGTCCAGAACCACTGGAACCTGCCACAGTGGAAGCACCATCGCGCGGAGCCTAGATTTGTTTTTTCTACGAGTGCGTAAGCGCCTTCGAAGCAGGGAAAGCGAAGCGGAGAACGCCCACGTCTGACAGCAGTGGTGGTTCGTTGTAGCAGTGTTTGGTGATGTTAAGCGTTGTTCTTTCGTGGGACGTGCATGCCGCATCGCCATGATATCTTCCGTCTTTTTGTTTACGGGTTCGAATTTGCACGCACATGCAGACCCGTTCCACAGTTCGTCTTGTTGCCGAGAGCAGCCCTTACCAGCGTACGGTTCCCCAAGGTTGGGAAGAGGTGACGGAGGTGACGATCGGCGTCCTCATCGTGTCCGAGGTGGGGGGTGGTCATTGGGGAGCAGGAAGAAGGGAGCGGGCACGAGGAAGGAGTGAAGGAGAGGGGATTCCCACGGGCCGTGGACTCACATCCCGAGCTGGTCTGTTGACGGAACCCCGTTCCGCCGGAGGAAGTGCGCGGGACCAGACGACGGGGCCGTTGGACGCCCCAGGCTCTAGGTTTCCGAGATGGGGTCGGAGCAGATGGGGTCGGAGTACGAGGACAGAGAATGGCATGAGCACAAGTAGTCGGAGGTCCGCGCTGTTCTCTTGGGTCGGCGCCGCACGCCCTCCCCGTAACCCCCCTCTCCGGCGCGCGGGGCGCGCCAGTGGCGGCGCCTCAGGCTCCAGGCCTCGCACATGGAGCCGCTTCGATGTTTGTTCAGAGCCTGGGATCAAGGGAGGAAAAAGCACCCGGACCAGACAATTGGCGTTTACTAAACGGCCCTGCCCTGCTTGATTTTTTGTTTAGGTGCTTTTACTAAACGGCTTCGCGTGTCGGGGTGGCTATTATCGGGGTGGATGTTCTGCCCTCTATCGGACCCCTGGGGAGGGGAGCGGGGGGAGGGGAGGAGAGCAAGGAGGCCTTGAGGCATCCCGGGTGGGGTCGGAGCAGATGAGGTCGGAGGATCGCGCCGCATCGTCGACGCATCGGAGATGCGGATCGATGAGGTGGAGCCCGATTTTCTCCACGCCGACGTCGCCGATGCGTCGCCGACGTCGCCGATGCATCGGTGATGCATGGGGGCTGCGGCGCGGTCCTCTGACCCCATCTCTTTGGACCCCATCCAGGAGGCCTCTACTCGGGGGCGGAAAAGAGGTGGGTGATGACTAGGGGGGGGATATCATGGCGGGGGGCATCATATTTCCCCATATTTCATGGCGCCTCTTCTTGTTTCAATACGTCCCCAGCCCCCCCGCCGGGCCGCGCACATGCCGCCGGTCATGATTTGCACCCCCCCCTCTTGGACACCCCCCTCTTGGCCGCTCCCGATCTACAGACCCAGATCTCCGATGTCGCTTGGGGGAGAGAAGGGTGAGGCCTCGACCTCCACCTTCCACACCTTCCAGCTGGAAGCTTACGTGGTTCATTGTCGTTTGTCTTGGCATGTCTCTGGATGTTTGCGAATGTTTGCGTTTCTCTGGATGTTTTCGCTTGTGATCTGTATCCCCGATGATCATGATCATCATCATCATCATCATCATCATCATCATCATCATCATCATCATCACCATCACCATCACCATCACCATCACCATCACCATCACCACCATCATCATCATCATCATCATCATCATCATCATCATCATCATCATCATCATCACCATCAAATCATCATCGTCATCATCATCATCATCATCATCATCATTAGTATCATCAGCATCATGATCATCTTCATCAGCATCTTCATCAGCATCGTCATCATCATCAGCATCAACATCAGCATCAACATCAACATCATAGTCATCATCAACAGCAGCATCATCAATATCATCATCAGCAGCAGCATCGGCATTATCATCATCAGCATCATCATGATCATGATCATGAACATCATCATCATCATCATCATCATCATCATCATCACCATCATCATCATCATTGGCAGCAGCACCATCGTCATCCGCATCATCATCAGCACCCTCATTATCATAATCACTATAATCAACCTAATCATCATCGTCATCATCGTCAGTAGCATCATCAGCATCAGCATCAGCATCATCATCATCATCATCTTCATAGCCATCTGCATCTTCATATTCATCTTCATCGTCATACTCACATTCGTCGACATCTGCATCCTCATACGTATGTTCATCTTCATCGTCATATTCATCTTCATATTCATGTGCATCTTCGTCTTCATCATCCGCAACACCCTCCTCCGCCTCCTCATATTCATCTTCATCGCCCAACGTGGTCACCACAAAATGTACCAATATTATCACGACAACTTGCCCGAACTTGCCCGAAGATGGCCGTGACCATATTGGGACATTTAGTCGTGACCATATGGGTGTATGTTGTTACTTTCTCATGCGAAAGCGTCCTTGTTGAAACCCAACACCGAACAACAACTCCTACAACACACCATGAGCCCTACGAACCCCATAGGCCCTGGAGCCCCATAGGCCCATGAGCCCCCACGATCCCCATAGACCCACTGGCCCCATCGACCCCTATGAGCCTTTCTGGCATTATGGGCCCCCTTGGCCTGATTGGCCCCGTGTGCCTGATGGGCTCCACGGGTCTTGTTTCCCATTCTCAGAGGCGGCGGAAGGCGCCGTCCGCCCATACAGCGCCGTTTCTAATACATGCTCCGCGTGCGGATCATGTATTACAAATGCAAGGATTTAGTATTAAAAACAACGATGAGTTCATGCGTAAATTTACTCATACATTCATTATGTAAAAAGATACTATATGTTTGAAAATCACATGTATTAATAACTGCCTTGTACCATGCCATTCAAGGTTACCCGCCCATTAGGGTGCCCGTCATGGCCGTCCGCCCAAGGAATGCCCTGCAGAGCCCTCGGCCCATGGATGTCCTTCGGAGCCCTCCAGTAGTCTGAAGTCTGTCAGGGGATTTAGCTAGCTCAGGCGACCGCAAACATGGATCAAGGGGGCGTGGATTGGCGACGGGTCCCGTTTCCATGGGAAGTCGCGGACTTCCGCCGCCGAGCGAGGCGTGACCGGCCGCATTTTGGGGAGGCACTTCCCCCGATCCATGGACTTGGCGGCCGCGTGCCAAATCCATGGATCGCTAATCCATGTTGGCGCGCCCCCGAATAGCTGAACCGTTTAATCCCCTGACAGATTGACGGTGCTTAACAGGCTCCGAAGGCGCATATCATGGGCGGGCGGCCCTGCGGCCCTGGATGCGGCATTCCTCAGGCGGACGGCCCTGGATGGCGTTATTGACGGACGGCGATTTCCGCCGCCTCTGGCCTAGCTTTAAGTCGGGCCCGTCCCTCCACAGGAGGAGCATTCAAAAATAGTATAAGAAATAGTCGGGGGTCGTTTTGTGTATTTTGTGAATAATGCTGCGTATTGTTTCGACATGTTTTATGTTTCGTCCCAAATCCGCTTTTAGGGGGACATGCCCGACCTAAGCTTACTTTGTCATGGCGTGCTGTGCTTGTGTACCGGTCAAAAAACAACGCAATGGCGCTCTAACAAAAAGCACAATACATAACAATTAAGAGCAGCAGCAACAACAACAACCACAACCATAACCACAACAACAATCATGTTACCCTCATGCGCGATGTTTTCACGCGAAGCAAGCGACCATCATGATAACCGTCTCCATCATGGGGGATTATTGTTCTATAGCGGGGTCCCCTATTCACATTCCCAGATCTCCCGCCCAATGAGGTCTTGCAAACACCTCCGAGGAATTTCAAAATATCCCGCCTCGAACGCATACCCGCGCCTTGCTGCGCCGATGCGAGACCGCCAGTGGAGCATCAGGCAAGGGTAAAGCATAAGGAAATATCGAGCGACAGGATTGCCTTGGTGGGGATGGGGGCTGTCGGCGGCGAGGCAAGGACCTGGCCTTGAATAGAAAGGAAGGAAGTCTCGAGCAGGGCCGCTGTTGTTGCTGGGAGCGGCGCCAACGCTGAAGAGAGTAGGGCGCTAGCCCAGCGTAAAACAAAACGAAGCCTCGAGCGGGAACGCTGGTTCTGTTGGGAAGGCGGTTTTCGGCGGCGAGGAGGAACACCGCCTTGAGCAAAAAGGGAGGAAGTCTCGAGTGGGAGCTGCGGTTTTGTCGGGACGGGGGCTGTCGGCGGCGAGGAACAGCACCGTCCTGAGGAAAAGAGAGGAAGCCTCGAGCGGGAGCGTTGTTGATGTTGGGAGCGGCGCCAATTCAAAAGAGAGCAGGGCGCCAGTCAGGCGTGAAACGGGAGGAAGTCTCGGGCGGGAGCGCTGATTTTGTCGGGATGGCTGTTTCCGGCGGCGAGGAGGAGCACCGCCTTGAGTAAAAAAGGGTGGAAGTCTCGAGCGGGAGCGTTGTTGTTGTTGTTGTTGTTGTTGTTGTTGTTGTTGTTGTTGTTGTTGGGAGCGACGCCGATGAGGGAAAGAGTAGCGCGCCAGTCCAAGGTAAAACAACGAAGTCTCGAGCGGGAACGCTGGCTTTGTTGGGACGGCGGCTTTCGGCGGCGAGCAAGAGCACCGGCCCTGAGTAGAAATGGAGGAAGTCTCGAGCGGGAGCGTTGTTGTTGTTGGCGGGCTGGTTTTGGCGCCCCACCAAACCGCTCGAGCGTGAGCCTCATTTTCAATGAAAATGTTGCCGGCGCCGAGGCGAGAGCGCCAAGGCGCCTGGGGGGGTCCAACAATAATAATTGTTTAGTAATTAACATTCAACCACAATCACAGCCACAACCACAACCACAACCAACAACACAACACATACATACACACACACACACGCGCGCGCACACAACACCAAAAATATCAACAGAACTCGGGAGAGAAACACGAACGTGTCTCCGCCGTGGGGTGATGTAGAGATACATGCCTCCGCTTTCGAGCCCGATCACAGGAAAGCACCCGCTCGCAGACCCAGAGGCATGTCTCCGCTTTCCGGGCGCGACGGCGGGGACCTGTGTAAAGTTTTGTTTTTGGGGGGCTCCGAGGCAGCAGACGTTGCCGCCCTCGGGCCCGACGGCGGAGACGTGTCTGCGCGTGTGGCCCCGCGGCGAGCAGAGGGCTTCGCCACCGGGCCGGGACGTGCAGACGCGTCCCCCCGTGCCTGCGGGAGGGGGGCCCGGGGCGCACAGCGCGGCCCCGCTCTCGGGCCTCCGAGGGCGGAGGCGCGCATCCCGCCCGCGGCCACGGGGCGGGCACGCGTCTCCGCCCTCGGACGCCCGAGGGCGGAGAAGCGTCGCCGCGCTGGGCACCGAGGCGAGCACGCGGCTCCGCGGCCCGAGTGCGGGGGCACGCCTCCGGGCTCCTGTACAATGGCGTGCCTCTGCCTGCGCTGCGCTCGCGGCGCCGCCTGCTTCCGGGGCTTTTTGCCCTCTCTTGGCCCTGGCGTGGGGCCCCTGCTTTTGCCTCCCTCCCCCTGTCAAGGAAAGCCGTGCGCGGCCCGCTTAGCCTGGACGACCGGAAGGGGTGCGCTCTCGACCCGCGGATATATATATATATATACACACACATTTGGGGTTCAACTACGTTTCCACACTTTGTTGACAACGATTTGTTGGGGTGTGATCGCTCTTTACTCGCACTTGTTGCGCCATGTCGTACCAATCGTGGTATGCTCCCTCTTCCTCTTGGCACCAGGAGCAGTGGTGGCAATGCCAGACTCCCGGTTGCTCGTGGTGGAACACCGGCAATGCCAAGAGATGCAAGTGCTGCGGCTTGAAGAAGTCCTGGGCGCAGGTCGTCGGCCAGGACGCCTCGAATGCTCGTGCACCTTCGAAGCTGCAGGCAGTCGAACTGCTCTTGCAGGGCGGGGCCTCCAATGCCGATGCCCGAGTGGACGTGCCAAAACCCTCAACCACCCCAGCGGCCCCCCACAGCACGGAGGACAAGGGTGCCCAGATCAAGCAGTTGGAGAATTCCCTTGCGGCCATTCCGCCAGGCTCCGAGTTCGACGACTTGAGGGCCTCGCTGCAGTCCAAGATCGCGGCGCTCAAGAGGAGCATGACGATGTCGAAGCCCCTCAGCAGTCAACTCGTGTCGTGTCGGGCTGCTGTCGACAGGGCTCAGAGGAGGAAGGCCTTGTGCGAGGAGGCCCTTGCGAAGGCGAAGGCCGCCCTCGACGAGGCCACCAAGGAGTCCATCACCAAGGCCACCGAGCTGAAGGAGCTCGAGGAGAAAGCCATGCAGGTCAGCATGCCGAACTCCCTCGAGGCCTCGACTCAAGCTCTCACGAGGGTCATCGCCGACATGAAGGCTTCTCCGGCTATCCCCCAGGTCCACTTGGCCCAGGCTGAGCAGGAGATCATGAAGGTGCTCACGGGCCTCCAGGCTATTGCGACGGCTGCGTCGGCGACGGCGGCGCAGAATGCAGCAATGGCGACGGCAGTACCTCCAGATACAGCCATGCCCACCTCCGACGAGCAGGCTATCAAGCGACGCTTGAGGGGCAAGCAGAACAATCCGAATGCGAGCCCGGATGTCGAGGAGGTTTTCCAGGAGGAGAAGGTGGCGGAGGTGCAGACGTAGCAGCTTCGCCAAGCGTGCAATTGAGGGCTGGTTCGGGCAACGTTCGCACCCCCTACCCCAATCAAGAGAATGCATCGTACAGCCGGATGGTGGGCGCCACCCTTATGTCGAAGGCTGCGTTGTTGGAGTGCCAATTTCGTCACCATTCAATACAAATACTTAGACTTCTGGAGGGGCGGTGCAAGGTTGAGCAGGTGAGGAAGGGGACATACTTCACTATGTTTTGCGCTGCTGCTGATGCGCGCGGCTCGTACGGATCGCAGTTGTGGGTGAGCTACGACTTGCGGTTCAAGCCGGGGAGTCCCCTCACCCCAGGCTTGTGTTAGCAGCAGGGTCGATCAGGCCAAATGGTGACGATCAAGTGCCAGCGATCTTGGTGGCAGCTCATGCCCTTCATTCTTTGGATCGTCTTGAAAACCAATGTGCATTCTGGGAGTTACTCGGATCACAGATCCGAGTGTGGCGAAGCAGGTATGCAAGTGCAGCACTTGTGATGGCGATCGATGCTAATGCGAGGGTTGGGTCTATTAAGTCTCCTTCGATTAGTACGTGCGAAATTGTTAGGGAGACCCCGAATGGGGCCATGTTCCGGGAGACTCTGGAGGAGCTTAAGCTTGCTGCTACCAACACCTTCTTTGAGGCAGGTTGGACGTGGATGTCAACGTACAGAACTACTTCGAGGATCGACTACATATGTGTACTTCAATCCGAGCTTCCTCGTGTTCGCCGTGCTTGGGTCGAAGATGGCATCGATCTGTCACTTTCGGAGTCTGTTGATCACAGGCTTGTTGTTGCAGACTGTGAGGTTCGAGCTCTCCCAGTGGAGGGCCCCGCCCGGACCGTGCAGCCGCGCTCTTGTTTAATCCACATGTGCTGTTTCGACCGGCCCAAGCTGCAGGACGAGAAGTGTAGGCGACATTTTCAGTTTTTGGTCTGGCGGTTTCGCCCTCTCCCCGGCTCCAGCGTGACTGAACACGCTGAGCAGTTCAATTCGCACCTTCGTTGGGCTTCTGTTGCTGCGTATGGGTCTCAGAAAGACTCCCCTCGTAAGCCATGGGTCTCTGCTCTGACTTGGCCCGCGCTTAGGTGGGGGGCCCCGCTTCGTCGGATTTCCGATGGCCTGTGGCGGGTGAAAGCCAAGCAGAAATTAGCTTTAGTGTTTCACGCTCTAGCGCCAGCTGTGTCCATTCCCTTTCCGCGTCAGGTTCCGCGGCCATTCGGCTGGCAGGCAAAAGCCAAATGCATGGAGATCCACTTTAACCATCGGCCGTCTTGACATTTTCATTGCTGCGTGGAGTAGGGGGTTCCGCATTTTTCAGAGCGTTGCCAAGTCATTGTGTGACATTGACCGCAACAGGCTTCTTGAGTCATATGCCGCTGAGCTGGACCAACATGCCTTGAATGCCAGATTTTCGGGTACGTTTAAGGTTGTCCGATTGCTCACGGGTAGCAAGCCTGCGGGGAATGTCAATCTCACAATGGACTCTGGAAGAATGAGCGCCTCATCTCATGAGCGGGACCTCGCTTGGAAGGAGCACTACCAGAGAGTTTTCCGAGCCGAGGTTATGAATTTTCAGTCGATTGAGGCTGTCTCCGGGCACAGGCCCGATTCGCTGGTCTCAGAGTTGCGCATGTCTGTTCAGGACACTTACGACTCGTTGCGCCGTTTGAAGCCCAACAGGGGTGTAGGTTGTGACGGCCCCCCTGCAGAGCTCCTCCAATCGGGGGGGTACGCGGCAGCTGTAAAGGTCAATGCAATCGAGCAGATAGTAGTCGAGTCTCTCCGGTGGCCCACGCAGTGGACAGGAGGAAGAATGGCCAGTCTTTTCAAGGGCAAGGGGCCCACGTCTGAACGGAATAACTATCGCGGCATCCTCCTTGCCGACCATGTCAGCAAATCTTTTGTCTCGCGATCGAAGGACGTTGTGGACCCAATGTACAGCGATAGAATGCCATCCACACAATTTGGAGCAGTGCCTCGTCGTGGCACCGATTTTGCTTCACATATTGTTCAGGCTGCCGCTGCACTGGCCGAGAAGAACGGCTGGTCTATCTGCATCAGTTTTGTTGATATTGTCAAAGCTTTTGACAGGGTAGTGCGTGAGTTAGTGTTCGGATTTCCCTCGTCGGCCCCGGCCGACTCGGAGTCGAGACTGCGGTGCTTGGCGGGCTTGGGACTTCCCCAGGAGGTTGCCCAGCACGTGCATGATTTTGTCTCCGAGCACGGCCCACTGTTGGAGCAGTGGAACGTCGATGGCACAACAATCGCTCTGCTTAGGAGCATACGCGAGAGTTCGTGGTTTTGCATTGGATCGCTTGATGAGGCGATCTGCTCTAGGCTCGGCGGCCGCCAGGGTTGCAAGGTAGGGGCGACGATTTTCAATGCCGTTTATTCAATCGCACTGTCCGCCTTGAAAGATAAACTCAAAGGGGCCGGCTTGGTGCTGCAACTCCCCTGCCCCGGCACGACTGAATTTTGGGGGGCCCTCGCCGGCCTTCCTGCAAGCCATGCTAACATCTCCGATTGCGCATTCGTGGATGACGAGCGCATTGTCCTCGCCAGCAAAAGTGCGCGGCAGCTCGAGGCCGCCATCCCCAAGGCTCTGAACGCCTTGGTTGAATCATTCTCGGCACTGGACCTCGAGATTCTCGAGATCAACTGGTCCAAGGGGAAGACTGAAGCCTTGGTTCGATTTCGGGGGTCTGGGGCTCAGCAGGTTTTCGCGTCGCACTGTCACGACGGCCAGCTGTCTTTTGAAGTCCCCGGGAGCTCCCCCAGACTCCTCGTCGTCGACCATTACAAGCATCTTGGCACGAATTTGTCGCTGGATTCAGCTTGCATGGCAGATGCTAGGCATAAGGAGCAATCCACGTTGGCAGCCTACTCCCCACACGCCGCGAAGATTTTCGTTTCCCCGGTCATCCATGATTGGGTCAAGCTTCACCTCATGTCTTCGCTCTTGTGCACGCGGCTATTCTTCAACGCGCATATTGTAGTGCCCATTCGTCAGTACATTCGTAGGCCCAATGCAGTCATGATGAGGCCCATTCGCCGCATTGCTGGCGAGGTCCGGTTTGGCAAAGTTGACCACACTGATGCTCAACAACGCGCCAAAATGTATCTTCCGTCTGTGGATTGCCTGTTGCAGCGAGCCCGTTTGCTATATTTGTATCGTGTTCTCGCGTCGGGCCCGCAGGAATTGTTGGCGCTGCTGCGCGCTCGCCCGAAGGGCGAGCCCATGCCGTGGACCAAATTGATCCTCTCTGACATGGCAGTGCTGAAAGACCTGGTACTTGCCAGGTCTCAGTTCTTTCTCCCTCCACCTGCGGAGGCCCCAGAAACGTGGGGGAAATTCATCAGAGGTTGCGGAGCCTCGTGGAGCCCGCTCGTGCAGCAGCTCTTCTATTCGGAATCGGTCGCCGACGGTCCGGATTCCGCAGGTCATTGTCATGTGCGCAGTGGCCAAGCTGCAGGAGGAGCCAATATGGAGTGTGGTGACGGAGTGACGGAGCGCACCAGGGCGCTCCCCCTATTCCCCCTCCTCCTCCCCCTCCTCCCCGCGCATTTGCTTGCCCCGACTGTGCCAATGATGGTGTCGTCGACCCGCCTGCTTCTCACTCGCAGAAGGCTCTGCTGTCTCACGGACGAGCGAAGCATGGTTTCAGATGCGATGCTCGATGTAATATCGACTCGTCCGGCATGTGCCCGGTCTGCAAGACCGTATTCAGTTCAAGATCCCGGGCGATTGCACACCTATCGGATCCGAGGCGCACGAAATGCCTTTCGAAGCTTTTCGAATGTCCGAAATTATCCCACGAAGTCGTGGAGGAATTGGACGCCTTCGATGCTGCAGCGAGGCTGGAGGCCCAACGAGCGGGCCGATCTCGCCCCCTTTCCGCCGCTCTTGCCATTACAGCTTCTGGCAAAGCAGTTGGCCGATTGAGACGGTGATTTATCACCACCGGGAACTGCAGTGATGGTTTTGTGACCTCTCGGAGAACTTTGGGAATAATATATAGATATAAATATAATGTATATATATATATATATATATATATGTACATATATATAATATATAATATATACACAAAAAAAACGAACAGAGGCCTCCGCGCTCCGGCCCGAGAGCGGCGACACGTCCTCACGCGGAGGCCGCAGAACGGAGACATCCCAGAGACAGGCAGAGGCACCCAGAGAAATCAAGACTGCAGAACATCACTTTCGGACTGCCCGGAGAACCCTGACGATGCCCCCAAGGGACCCCAAGAAGCCCCAAGATGCCCCCCCGAGAAGCACCCAAAAAGGGCCCCCAACAGCCAATTAAGGAAGCACGGAGAACCTCCCAGAAGCCCTTCAGATGCCCCCACGAAGACCCAAGAAGTTCCCAACAGGGCCTTAGGAGGCACGACTATGTCACGCGCCTGTGCTTGATAGCGCTGTCCAAAATCTTCTAGCGCGCCCCCAGCCTGGGCTAGAACCTGAGCGCGCGCGAAGCGCGCGCGATGGTTCTAGTATATAATATTATAAATACATATATTAATATATATATATATATACATACATACATACATACATACATACATACATACATACATATACATATACATATATATATATATATAAAAACAAGCCGAGTCGAACAGAGGCCTCCGCGCTCTGGCCCGAAAACGGAGGGCGCCGGGCCCGAGAGCGGCGACACGTCCTCACGCGGAGGCCGCAGGACGGAGACATCCCAGAGACAGGCAGAGGCGCCCAGAGAAGTCAAGAGAAAAACTCAGACCAGCAGACACAAGCAGAGACAGAGACAGCAAGAGGCGAACAGAGACAAGCAGAGACAGTGAGAGACAACCAGAGGCATGCCGAGACAAGCAGTGACCATCAGAGACATCCAGCCAGACAAACAGAGACATCCCAGAGGCAAACACAGACAAACATAGACATCCAGAGACAAACAGAGACATCTAGAGGCAAACAGAGACATCCCAAG